CCGGGGGGGGGGGATCCTGTTCCTTCTGGTGGCCACCCTACAGCGTCGCCAGCCCCCCTCCCGTCACTGCAAAGAAGCAAGCAAGCAAGCAAAAACCCTCGGGGCTCTGAAGCCTTACCTGGTGGGCTGCGACTCCCAGAGCCCAGGGGCCAACCTGGATGCAGGATTCTGGGGCCTGTCGTTTGGGGGGGGGGAACACAAACTTTTCCAAACTCTGGAGAAAGGATTACAAGGAAGGGTTAGCTGTTTTCTGGACAAAGTTCTGCCATTGAAGAGAGGAGCAAGGGGGGGCAGGAGCCTCCGGGCCTCTCCTTGGCCACATCTCTGCTCTGGCCCTGCGAGGTTGCCTTGACCCAGAGAGACCCAACCGCTCCACCTCCCCAGGGGTGGCATTTTCGGGTGGGCCGCTGTTCCCCTCCCGGGTCTCCCAGGAGGAGCCAGGGACCCCAAGGTCTTCTGGGAACACATCTTTCAGCCCCGATTCTGGATTCTCAGCTCTCTTCGGGGGGGGGGACTCTTGTGGGTTCCTTGCTGTCCCAGCCACCCCCTCCCTCCCCCCACAGTTGACCAGCAGGGCCAGCCAACAACTGAGCCCTGACGACTTTATTCTCCTGTGTTGCCTTTTTTGGCCAGGAAAAAGGCGGGCAAACTCCAGGAGTAATCGGAGAAGCCTCAATCCGCCTTCCAGCTTGCCCCCACCACCACCACCCCCAGCAGTGGCAGCCATGATTAACCGCTGGGCTATCCAGAGCTCAAGGGGAGAGGCTGGGGGTCTAAATCGTGACCCCTCCATGTGTCAAGTCCACAAAAGCTGGGGAGAGGGGGCCAGTGGGGGAAAAATACACCACAAATGAAACTAAGTGGAGAAAAAAATAGAACAGCGCCTGTAGCTCAGGAGAGACACCCCTACGTCTGCTGCTAGCACCCTCCAGATGTTCAGGTTGAGCTCTGGATGCTAAGGATTGTGGCCCAAGCCTCTCTTCTTGGTTTTTGAGGTAGGCCTGCTCCTGCAACTCCCCTTCCCTCCAAATAATATTTTAAATAATATTTTGTTGTTGTTGTTGTTTAGTTGTTAAGTCATGTCCGACTCTTCGTGACCCCATGGACCAGAGCACATCAGGCTCTCCTATCTTCCACTGTTTCAAATTCATTCTGGTAGCTTCAATGATATTGTCCAGCCATCTCGTCTTCTGTCGTCCCCTTCTCTCCTCTTGCCATCACACTTTCCCAACATCAGGGTCTTTTCCAAGGAGTCTTTTCTTCTCATGAGATGGCCAAAGTACTGGAGCCTCAGCTTCAGGATCTGTCCTTCCAGTGAGCGAGCACTCAGGGTTGATTTCCTTTAGAATTGATAGGTTTGTTCTCCTTGCAGTCCAGGGGACTCTCAAGAGTCTCCTCCAGCACCACAATTCAAAGGCATCAATTCTCCAGCGGTCAGCTTTCTTTATGGTCCAGCTCTCACTTCCATACATCACGACAGGAAAAACCATAGCTTTGACTATTCGGACTTTTGTTGGCAAGGTGATGTCTCTGCTTTTTAAGATGCTGTCAAGGTTTGTCATTGCTTTCCTCCCAAGAAGAAGGCGCCTTTTAATTTCAGGGCTGCTGTCTCCATCTGCAGTGATCATGGAGCCCCAAAAAGTAAAATCTGTCACTGCCTCCATATCTTCCCCTTCTATTTCCCAGGAGGTGATGGGACCAGTGGCCATGATCTGAGTTTTTTTGATGTTGAGCTTCAGACCATTTTTGGCACTCTCCTCTTTCATTCTCAGTTGTTTTAGTCACCAAAAAAGATCCCACGTGACAAAAAAAAATACGGACATAAAGATGTTTAGGGATCAGGAGCCTCAGGGAGACGAGGGGCCCCTCCAAGCATGGGAAGGGTTTTCTTTCCCTGCTTCTTGTCACTCACGGTCCTCTAAAAGCTGCCAAAGGAGACTCTTCCTGGCAGCTAAAACAAACAGGGGATCCTGGGGAAAAGCCACCGAATTGCTGAATGGCTCGGGTGCCTCGTGGGCACTTGTCGAGCCTTTGACAGAACCAAGGCTAAACAGGCCAAAATCATCAGGGGAGCAACAGGGAGAAAAGCCAGAGAATGGAAGGCTACTTATTCGTTTCGAAACCCACACCCAAAACCCGCTTCCCTGGTGAGGAGTGTAAATCGCCCTCAGATCTGCCCTCTGCCATCAACCCTCCTTGGTCTTCTTCTCAAAGGATTCCAAACCAGCCTCTTGTCCAGCTGCCGGTCCCGTCGCTCGTTGCTCCACCAAGCATCCTCATCTGGTTTCGAACCCAGATCTTCCTTGCACTTTCTCTTCCACTTGGAGGCTGCGCTTGCACTTCCATCTGCACAGGGGCGAGGGGAGGCTCGGTTTGATGTTCTGCTGACAGGTGATGTCCTCTCCATTTCTGGGAAACCCGTGGGCCCCTTTTGTGTATGGAGGAGTTTCCAGGCATGACTCAAATCATGACTTGAAAAAAAAAACCAATAACCCACAGTCCCTATAAAACTCTTCCTTCCCTCCCAGCCATGTCACCCTCCCCGGCGAGAGGACAGAGAAGATGCAGCCGGCCCGTCCTCCTGCCAGCCCAGGTGAGGAAGCCGACCGCCAGCCCCGTCTGCGCCCCCTCCTGCCTAACACCCCCCCTTCCTTCGCAGCCTCTGCCCCTCGGCTTGGCCTTGCCCTGCTGTCTCTCGAAAGGATTGGGGTGTCAAAGAGAGACGGATCCAGACAAGGGGACCCTCGAAGCGGTGCCAGGGATGGGGAGCTGGTGGGAAGGGGGGGCAGAGGACAAGGGGTGGCCGGAGGAGTCCAATCCAATCTCTGCCCAAGCATAGGGTTGCCAGATGTCAGGCAAAAGGAGGACATGTCCTCCTTTTTAACCTAATGTCCTCCGTCAGGCAGGCAAAGATAAAAACCTTTAAAATGTCAGGCTTTTGTATATTTTATGTTATAATTTTGGATGGGAGGGGGAGAAGTGGAGGGACCCCCTTTTCCCTGGCTTTCCCCGCCCCCACCTGCCCGCCCCCCCCCAGTATTTTGAAATATAAAAGCCTCCATTGAATTTATTTTTTTATTTTTAACATGACTGTTTCTTGGTCGGTTCACTAAGAGACATTTATTGGCAGCTATTGTAATAAAATTGTATTGATTGTGGATTTAATCTGGAATGATTCAAATGAAACATTCAATATGTCCTCCTTTGTCCTCCTTTTCGTCTTTCTATGTCCTCCTTTTAGTACCCGTGTATCTGGCAACCCTACCCAAGCACCAGCACAGAGGCGGGGGGGGGGGCTGGCAAAGAATTGCGTAGCCACGCAATACACATTTTCTGATGTGAGAATAACATCTGCTCTCAGGTCTATCTTTGCTGTTTCCTCTGAATTCCAAACCTTTGGATTTAAGACATTTGGGCTTTTGTTTTGTTTTTAAAATGATTTTGGATAAGAGGCTGCTCACCATCTCAGGCTCTAAGAAGCCCTTGCTCCGTTTCTGGGGGCAAGCACTGGCCCCCCAGGCCAGCAGTATGTGGGGGGGAAGAGCAAAGAAGGGGGTTCTCACAGCTGGAGGAAACGTCTCAGACGCTCGATTGAGGAAAACCTGCTACGTATGAAGCCCAAGGCCAGGCTTCCTCCTCACCAGGCATTATAGGATGGGCGCAGGCATCCGAATCAGCTGGACATGGAAACCAGACACGCAGGCTTGTAACAGGGATGGGGAGCCGGTGGCGCCAACTTAAAAACGGCCACTCCCAGGGAGGTGGTCCTGAGAGGGAGCCCTGCCTCCCAGGGGAAGCGCAGCCAGCTGGCTGAGGCTCTTCCGCCTCGGTGGAACTGGCCGGGAGGATTGCCCCTGTCGTGGCAAGCTTTTGGGGGTCTGGCTGGCAAGGAAGGGGTGCAAGAAGGGGGGCGCCTCTTTCGGACAAGGACAAGGCTCCTTTTTTCGGAGAAGGCTCTCTCTCTCGCTTGGAGTGTTGAGATCCTCAAGGGAGGCCTTCCTCTCCCTCCTGCCACCTTCACAAGCGGGTCCGATGGGGACAGGACGGGAGAGGGGCCTTCTCGGTGGCTGCTCCTTTAGACTCTGGAACTCCCTGCCCCTGGAGGCCAGGCTGGTCCCCATCTTGGCTCTCCTTCTGCAAGCACATAAACAGACCTTTCTGTTCCGGTGGGCTTTCCCTGAGTGGACTGGCTGCCTGAGTGGATGGATTGCGATGCCTTCCTGCTTTGCATGTGCTTGTAATATTGTTTTTTTGAACTGTTTGTCAGGGTGGTATTTTTTTTCCTTTTTAATATTTCTATGCGTACTTTTTTGGGGGGGTTGTTTTGCTTTCCGTATTGCCTTTTAATGATGTAAGCTGCCTTGGGTCCCTTTCAGGGAAAAGGGCAGGATAAAAAAATATTTGAAATCATGGTGGTGTTAAGTGGTGCAGAGTCCCACTGGTGAACTGTTGGAGCGGTCACTTCCTGGCGGTGCTGAGGGCTCCCAGAAAAGGCCGTCTTGCACAGCCCTTGCCATGACGGGCGGCTTATTTTGCCCTTTTCTGTGGCAGAAGCAGGTCGGTCCAACCCCCAGCCCCAGCCCATGGTTTGAACATGCCAGCAAACGGATTTTCGGTGGCTTGCGCATCTAAGGGCCCCCCACCACCCGAGGCGGCTACAGTGGTGAGGAGCCACCTTCGGTCTCGGGGTCTCGGACGGAGGGTTGCTCTGCGAGTGTCCTCCTCCATGGGATGGGCAACATCTTCTCTTCTTCTTGGGCCGAAGGTGGGGCCGTCCACTGGGGCTGGAGGCCGCTCTCTGCCAACCTTGCGGCTCCCTTTCTTCTCCTGTTTGGTGCGGTGTGAAATGTACTCCACACATGCCCCAAATCACTCCTCTTGGGAATCACCACCAGCCTCCCCGGGATGGTTTGGGACTAAGATTTCAGCCCCCAGTCCTGCAAGACCCCATCACAGCCAGGGCCTGGGTCCTGCACTGCCGCACAGGTATTCAACCACTTTTGAAAGACACACATAGTAAGGAGGTGTCTGCGCCTCTTGTGGCAGTCAGTTTCACCGGTTAATGACCTCCTGGTTGGAGGTTTGCGTAGGCAGACGCCCACCGTTTGAAGAGGGTCTCTCTTTCAGCCAGCAACCTCCTGCCTGTAGCAGTCAGCCTAGATGTGGCTCCACCCTGTAGACCACACTCTCTGTTCTCACTCTCTGCTCCGATCTACTCCCAGGTCTCCATCCCAACATGCACAGACTCCTTCTGGCTCTGCTCTGCAGCTCCACCTGCTTCCAAGGGACAGGTAAGGCCAAGAAGCCTCCCGAGGTTTGGCCCCTTTAAAGCTATATATTCCCCCCCCGCCGCCTTTATTCTCTCTCTCCCCCCCCTCTGGATTTTATACCCTTCCTGTGTGATGCGCTGTTATTATATTAAACGTTATTATTATGTTAAAGTCTCTCCCTATTGCATTGTTGACCCTTTTGTTGGTATTGTGGACAAGACGAGATGCGTGGAAGTCCATATGCCAATAAAATGAA